ACAAACCATGTGACTCATCCAGGCCTTGGTTGACAGTTGCACTATGTAAAGGCCTAAACCCTATAAACCTCACTGGAATTCATCTGAGTCACCCAGCAACACCCTCTCCCATTACTTGTTTTGCAAACCCACAGTATTCTGGTTTCATCCATTTTAGCTTAACTTTGAAAATATGTCCTCAGCCAAAGAGCTAAATCAGTGTCCCAAACTTTTCCAACCACCATGACACCCATAGGCACTTGAATGGAAGAGGAAGACAGAGAGACAGAAACAGAGAAGAACAGAGATCAAGACAGAGAGAGAAGAAGGAATTTTTGTGCAAGGAGCTGAAATAATTTCAAAACTTACTTATTCCATTAGTTCTGGTGACATAAAGAATTCACTACTTAAAACTATTTTACACTAACTGAAGAACAGTCACCTGAAGATCGTTAATAATATCATTTTATTTGCTTTTTTTGTGTGTGTGACAAAGTCTTGCTCTTGTGGCCCATGCTGGAGTGCAATGGTGCCATCTCAGCTCACTGCTACCCCCGTTTCCTGAGTTCAAGAGATCCTGCCTCAGCCTCCCGAGTAACTGGGATTACAGGTGCCCCGCCACCACACTCAGCTAATTTCTGTATTTTTAGCCGAAATGGGATTTCACCACATTGGGTAGGCTGGTCTCGAACGCCTGACCTCAGGTGATCCACCTGCCTCAGCCTATCAAAGTGCTGGGATTACAGGCGTGAGCCACCACACTCAGCCCAATAATATCATTTTATAAAGCAATCCACATAAGCTTTAAAAGAAATCAAATAATACAAGATAGTCACTGGGTACAGATTCTTCCCAGTCCTACACCTGAGAAATTTAAAATTCATAATTCAGTGAAATAGCTCTTCGGCTGTAGAATATATTCCATGAACACTAAGAAGTGTAATGATTAGGCCAGGTGTGGTGGCTCACACATATAATCCCAGTACTTTGAGAGGCTGAGGCGGTAGGATCACTTGAAGCCAGGAGTTCAAGAATAGCCTGGACAATATATTGAGACCCCATCTCTGAAAAAAAAAAAAAAAAAAAGATAAAATTTGCCAGGCATGGCGGTGTTTGCCTGTAGTCCCAGCTACTCAGGAGGCTGAGGTGGGAGGATTGCTTGAGCCCAGAATTCAAGGCTGCAGTGAGCCAAGATTGTGTCACTGCACTTCAGCCTGGGTGACAGAGCAAGACTCTTTCTCAAAAATAGTAATAATAAAGAAGTGTAATTATCTTCATTGCCCTTAGTTCTACTGTATTACCAAGCGTGTTTATTAGAAGGTGGCACATTTGCCTAATTTATGTGTTCATTCATCACACATGTGCTGGGCAGTGAAGCAGCTCACAGCCTCTCATCTTTCAGTTCCCATCTGAGCTGATTTCTCACTTCTGCCCCTTCAAGAGTCACCCCCATTCCCATCTCCCACCCAGGTAGATGGAGTCAGGTGTTTACAGCTGGACCCTGACTTACAAACCTGCATTAAAGGCCACAGCAGAGCTGTCCAAGGCCTGGGGTTCATCCGACCAGCCAAGGGCACTTTTGAAAACAGCAAATGTTTCTTCTTCCTTCTCCTTTGTATCCACTTCCTCCTCATCCGCAGGAAGCCAGTTAGTTCACGGACTAAGCCCTGCTCTGTACCTTTCCTGCAGGCCTCAGACAGGGCCTTGCACCGAGGCCTGCTTCACCTCCCTGCACCTTCTCTGAGATTGGAGGGCACTTCACTCCCACGCTCTGTGATTTGTTCTTGATTCCACGCTGTCAAGTGTTCTGACAATTACATCATGGAGCTTAGTCTTGCCTTAACATACAGATGCTCCTGGACTGCGAATGACTCAGAGCAGTGGACTCAGTAGATACATCCTTGTCTTCCTAGCAACTCTTTCCCTATGAGGGTAGTGAGCCGACCAAGGCCACCAATTCCCTGAAGGCCAGACTCAGGCTTCCCCGAGGCTTCCTTCCAGTCAGGGATCTGGACAATAAACCTTAGGAATGCCCAGGGCCAGTCTGGAAGGCCCCTTTGGTCTCTCTAGGCCTTGCACATTCCGTTTCTTTGGCTCTCTCTGCCCTCCACCCTCATCCCCTTTATAGCATCCCTCCTTGAGTTTGAGGCATTCATGAAAAGGGGGCTTTTTCTTTCCATCCCTGTTGTATGGCATGGCATCTGGCATTCAAATGATAAAGTCTGGCTGGCAGGTTGATGGATGAATGTGTGAGCTGCTGGACCAACAGAAAGAAGAAAGGGTCAGTGTTCAAGTGAATGAAAGAATGAACTGCTTCTAAGGGTGTCCTGGAATGGCACTCTCCAGAGGACAGGCAGGTTAGGACCTCAGTGGCTTTATAGAAGACACAATAAAATTATTATTGATAAATAATTCAAGTTTGTAAAAACATGTTTTTTGGTATTTATTTTCCACATTTAAGAAGCAGTGGTGGGTATCCCATTGACTCTAGAGTGAAATTTCTTCAAAATCATTTTCCAAAAATTTATACCTTAGAAAATAGAATATTTATAAACATATATTCAAAACATGGCAAGACACTTGTACAGAAAATTTTTTGAAATGTTCAATGTATTTTATTCACCACCTGTATTAGAGAGTCATTATTTTTCTTAATTAAAAGCAGCATATGTCTGTTACCACCGTCAATATTCTGTAGCCTTGAACTTGAAGGAAGCTTTTTGGTTTGTGAATTTTTGTTTGTTTGTCTTGCTCTGTTGCCCAGGGTGGAGTGCAGGAGGATAGTCACAGCTCACTGTGACTTGATCTCCTAGGCTTTAAGTGATCCTCCTGCCTCAGCCTCTCAGGTAGCTAGGACCACAAGCATGCGCCATCACACCCATTTTTTTAATTTTTTATTTTTAGTAGAGGTGAGGTCTTGCTATGTTGCTCAGACTGGTCTCGAGCTCCTGGGCTCAAGTGATCCTCTCACCTCAGCCCCCCAAAGTGCTGAGATTACAGATGAGAGCCACTGTGCCCCGCCGAAAGGAAGCTTTTAAAAGAAAAGGCTGGGATAGCTTTAATATCCCATCCAGAGCTTCTCAACCTTAGCTGCATTCTTAAAACACTTGGGAAGCTTTTAAAAGTCACAATGCCCAGCTTGCATCTCAAGTCTATTGCGTTAGATTCTCTGGAGAATCGCTTCTCGGCCCTTTGACTAAGATCAAGTGTAGATTCTCTGGAGAAAGGACATAGACATCTGTGTTTTGTTTTAGTTTTTGCCTTTTTTTAGTTTTTAAGCTTTGATTGAGTTTTGTTTTTTATGTTTTGTTTGGCATCCATATTTTTAAAGAGCCCCAAGTGCTTCCCATGTGCAGCCAAAGCTGAGAACTACTGCTTTCACCCACATGCAGCTGAAACTCATGAAAAGACTTACTGTGCAAACTGGAGGGTTTTATCTTCCCTCTGAGAGTCAGATTTGAAACCAGCCAGTGTCCTCCTTCTGATTCTTCCCCAGAATCTCGTTCTTTCTTTACCCTTATTTCAATCCTGGTAATAAAGAATGGCTCCCAGGCTGTGTCCTCCAGGTAGATCCAAGGTCAGGTGACTTACGCTATCATTTTGTGAAAGCTGTGCCTCTCCACTTCTGAACTTTGAATTGAACTTCCGTGTCTAAAAGCAGTTTCAGAAATTAAGAAAAGGAAACAGGCCAGGTGCAGTGACTGACGCCTGTAATCCCAACATTTTGGAAGGTCGAAGTAAGTGGATTGCTTGAGCTCAGGAGTTCAAGACCTGCATGGCAAAATCCTGTCTCCACCAAAAATACAAAACTTAGCCTGCTTTGGTAACGTTCACCTGGAGTCCCATCTACACAGGAGGCTGAGGTGGGAGGATCACTGGAGCCCAGGAGATCAAGGCTACAGTAAGCCATGATTGCACCACTGTACTCCAGCCTTCGTGACAGAGCAAGACCTTGTCTCAAAGAAGAAAGAGAGAGAGAGAGAGAGAGAGAGAGAGAGAGAGAGAGAGAGACAGAGAGACAGAGACAGAAGGAAGGAAGGAAAGAAGGGAGGGAGGAAGGAAGGAAAGGAAGAGAGAAAGAAAAAACGAGAAAGAAAGAAAAAAGAAGAAAGAAAGAAAAGAGAAAAGCCAGGCGCAGTGGCTCATGCCTGTAATCCCAGCCCTTTGAGAGGCCAGAGTGGGTGGATCACCTGAGGTCAGGAGTTTGAGACCAGCCTGACCAACATGGTGAAACCATGTCTCTACTAAAACAATTAGCCAGGCATGGTTCTGCACACCTGTAATCCTAGCTACTCGGGAGGCTGAAGCAGAAGAATCACTTGAACCCAAGAGACAGAGGTTGTAGTGAGCTGAGACTGCACCACTGCACTCCCGTCTGGAGGACAGAGCAAGACTCTGTCTGAAAAAAAAAGAAAGGAAAAAAAAAAAAAAAGAAAAAAAAAGATAGTTGTAATAAATCTCAAGCAGGTTGGCTGGTGTGTTAGGTTTTGGTTTCGCTTTTGTTTTGTTTTTATGTTTTGTTTGGCATCCATATACTAACCAGAGCTGGCCAATCCCCCAATCACAGGAATGTCGAAAAATGACAAGGTACACAGTCGCCACCCTGCCTTGGCCAGCAAACACGCCCCTTGTCCCACCTACCACCCCATACTTTTAGTATTCTGATCATTGTCCAGTGAAACCACAACCCCATTGTGCTTGGGGAGTCTCTTTCCAGAACTCCCTACTGCAGTAGCTTTGAAAAAGTGTTTGCCTTCAACTCTTCCTACTCTATTTCTGCTTTGACCATTTGGTTTCTGGACTAGGCCATTTCACTGGATCATCTGGGAAAACAGTGTCTGGGGATACCCACAAAAAGTGTGCGTCCTGGCGTTTGGAGGTAGTTGGGTATGGAGGAGGGAGTGGGAGGGTGTATCTCACCGTATCATCCTTCCATTCCCGTCCACTAATTCTTCCGATGTTCACTAACTCTGCAGGGCTCCTGTAGTGGGTTTAACCAAAAGACATTCACACAACACCAGCAGATTGCAGTTATGTATTCAGTTTCCTACGTTCTTAAACAATAGGGGCCATGGGAAGGAGAAGAGAAACGTTGGGAGAGCTGCCTGGCTGGAGTAACTGGCTTCTGTTAAGCAATGGGTTCCTACGCACACTTTACAAAATCATCTTCCTACAGGAAAATCGGCTTCCACAGGGATAACACGGGTTGCAAGGGTCACATGGGTTGCAGGGGTTGCAGGGGTTGCAGGGGCTACAGGGGCTACACGGGTTGCAGGGGCTGCAGGGGTTGCAGGGAGAAGTGCAGGGGTAGCAAGGAGACTCAATCTTGACACAACTGCCGAGCCCGTAGGAGTACGTTACATCCTTCTCATCCACACAGGGCGGCAAGCTGAACTCTTTGCAGATGTTCATGTAGCTGTACTTTTTCGATCCGAGGCAGTCGTACCTGTTCTCCCGCTCAGCCGACACGCATACCTTTCCATCCTTCACTCGAACTTTGACTTGATCAGGTTCAAAGCCGCATACATTCACCGATCCTAAAATGTTACTGCTACAGCAAGAGGAAGCCAGAATTCTATTTGTTGTTCTTCTCAGTCTGGAATTGAGAAAAGGGAAAGGGCGGGAGGAAGCTCAGAACTCGGAATCCAGACACAGCTTGAGAAGCAATATTTTGACTTCTCTCTTTTGAAATAGAAGAAGTTAACACTAGCCATTGTGAAAATAAAATTTACACAAATGCATGAAGTAGAAAGTGTGAGTTCACCCATGTGAATCACACTGCCTCACAAGGACACCTCTGTTAACAATGAATGTTGCCTGGCCTTCCAAATCCTTCTCTTCTATTTAAATACCAGCTCCTTCTCTTATTAGTTATGGAACCCTTTGTTCCTTAACCCCTTTGTGCCTCAGTCTTCTCATATGCAAAATGGAGATAATAATAATAATGCCTGCATCATATAGGACTATTGAAGGATTAGATAAGATTATGATATTTTACTTAACACTGTGCGTGGCACATTACAAGTCCTGCTTTAATTATGACTACTCTCATTATTATCACTACAATTAAGTTATATATAGCTATAATTAAATTATATATAAATTACATTTTATATTTACATGGATTAAAAAATGGAATATGACTAATAAGATACCATTTAAAATCTGCATGTTAGTGATGGCTGTCACCTCTAGAACCCAGCCCTACTGCTTCATTGGACAGGTGTTAGCTCTGGCAATTGCACCAAGACAGCCTCAAAGCTCAGTCAATGGCAGGAGAGCCGTTGCCTGGCTCTGCCCAGCAGGCCCTGGCTCCTCCAGGCTGGGAAGCCACTCTAGGCTCTGGACAGCTGGCACCAGCAGAAATGCAGTCAGCTGGGTGGGGCTGTGTTGATAAGATACAGAACAGCCTGCAAGTGGTGTCCCAAATCAGGATCCCAACAGCTTGCAAGAGCTGATAGTACACGTCTCTTCCCGACTCCCCATTTAGTACTGTATGCCGATAGCTTGAAATTAATCGTAGTCATGATGAAGATACCTACACCACGGAAATCGGAAAATGCCACATATCAGGGCTCTCCTCTGTCCCCACTGCAGAGCTACCATGGTTCCTACAGAGCTGCCTTGTTGCTATTCAGCAGTTCTACTGTGTAAATCCTTAATAAAAATAATAACGGCAGCTCACACTAATTGATCAGTTATGATATGTCAAGAGATAGTAAAGCAAAGTGCCTAAGAGTAGACTCTGGAATTGGAGTATCTAGGTTTAAATCTTGGCTCTGCCATGTGGATAACTACTTCTCTGTGCCTCAGTTTCCTCATCTGTAAAACTGGGGCAATAAAAATAGCAACATCATTGGGTTGCTGTGAGGCTTAAATTAGTTAATGCAAGAAAATATTTACAGTAGTGCTTGGCACATAGGATGTTAGGCTTTTGTCTTTTTTTTTGCTGTGGAAGGTGCTAATCATGTTAAAGGCATATTTTATTTAATCTTCACAATAACTCTGTGATGCCCATGTAATTATCACTACATCACTTTTGTATGTTGAATTTTGTTTATGCAGTTACTTTTCTCGTTACGTAAGTTATACAAGTTCGTTGTAGAAGATTCAACATACAGATAGGTAAACATATGGAATATTTTTAAAATACCTGTAATCTTATATAACACTTAGCATTTTGGTGTTTGACACGTGTGTGTGTGTGTATGTGTGTGTGTGTTTCTATATGCGTGTAGAAAGAGTTTTGTGTGTGTTCTTATGAAATCATGCTATATATATTGATTTTTATCTGTATTTTTCATTTGAGCCCTAACATGATTAGATTAACAGTTTGCATGTTCACTACCCTTGTACTGAAAGTTACAAATCGAGACTCTTCTTAGTGGCTAATAATGAAATGATCAAATAGAACTCGGTCCCAGAAGACACTGAGGCAAACAGAAACAACTTGTGTAATATACCCAGAGGACTGTACCAGTCATTCAGCCCCATTTCTACCTCTGGCCCCATGAAACCCGGGGGTGGCATGGGGCATGGTTGTCTTTCTTGCCCTGGGTGTGCCAGGGTACCCTATGCCACACTAAAGAGAAAGGAAGAGAACTGTGGACTCTTTGAAATCTTTATCTTTGTGAGGTAAGCAGGAGAACAAGCCATCATGCTGGATGGGCAGAAAATAGCTCACAAAGATGCAGGGAACCAGCCTAAACTCTAGGCATGGTGCCCTCTCTGGATGGATTGCAGGCTTAAAGCCAGAGCAGCAAAGCCCCGGGGGAAGCACAGAGCAAGGTGGGCACTTTCTGGGCCTTTCAGGACTCTCCCGTGGTGTGTGCATGGGCTGAGAATCAAACTTCTGTTTAGCTCAGATCTTCTCATATGAGATGAGAAATATCAAATCCTGCCAAGGTAATGCAGCTGGGCCTTCTAAAGGAGGACCAAGGACTCCAACTAGCAGTCCTTGCTAGTGGCCCTGGCTACGGCCACAGCTGGTTTTGGCAAAGCCCTCTTGACCTCCACAGAAGCTGGATCTGGGAGCCAGGTCTACAAGCCCAAGTCGGTGCCCAGATTCATCTCCTCTAAGTAACCTGAATCCCAGGGCACAATTTCATGTATTTTGTGCTTGGGTTCCTTCTTTTCCTCTATTCCTGTTACTTTGGCTCCTGTGGCTCTGTGACAGCTGCACAAGGGTCTCGCAAACATCTTCAGGAAGTCGCCCAAAAGGTCTTGGCCGATCATCCTTCCTTTTCTTTTTGCGTTGAAGTCAGTGGTTATCAGGGAAGATATGTTGGTTTAGGGGAAACTGCAGAAGCCACATTTTACTCATCAGACTCAACTCTGAAATTGTAATTTGACTCCTGCCTGCTGATGTGCCTATCACCCCACCTGGAATTTTCCGTGGCTCTATGGGGTACTGAGCAAAGGGAGTTTGCCTGCTATGCTTGTTACCATGAGGGCAAAGCTTAGCCTCAGTAAACATAGGGAAATCAGCTCCTTTGCAGAAGCCTCTTAGGAAAGCTGGGGAAAGGTAGCAGCCAGCCAGTGCCTGTGTCTGCCTCTCTGTGTGGCCTCCTCTCCTCCCTACTAATGCTGAATTTCAGCTGGATGAACAATCAAACTCCCAAATAAGAAACATGCTGGTCACACCAATGATGAGCCGCATACCTAGCCATCTTCTCAAAGATATGCATCAGATGCAACCTGGTCATGAATAAAGTAATGAAGTTGTCAAAAATGTCTACCTCTACCAGGGAACCAGGTGGGGCAGGCCTTCCTCTAAGCTTCACTGGAGTACTTTGCTTTTTCTCCTGAATTTAGCCCCATCTCAAAGACCCATTTAAACTTGATCCCTCTCTTTCCAACACATCTTTCTCTTTCTCTTCTCCTTTCTTCTTCCTTTCTCTTGTTTTCCAGCCTTTTCTCTCTTCACCAGGCTTTTGGGTTGATACTGAGGACAATGTCACTCAGCAGGAAGCCGGGCAGCATGGCACAGATGCATGACTCTCCAGCAGAGTTTGTTAAAACACAGGTGGCTGATTAACTAGGCGTGATTGTTCACACCTCTAATCCCACTTACTTAGGAGGCTGAGGCAGGAGAATCACTTGAACCTGGGAGGCAGAAGCTGCAGTGAGCCAGGATCACACCACTGCACTCCAGCCTGGGCAACAGAGCCAGCGGGTCTAGGGTGGAGCTGAGAAGCTGCATTTCTAACATGCTTCAGGTAATGTTACTAATCAGGTTCAGGGGCCACACTTTGAGAACCACTGACCAGAGATTAAGCTCATGGATTCCAGACTCAGGCACACACGGCTTTAAGTCTTGGCTCTGCCACCACCTAGTGATCAAGAACATTGCCCCTGAATCTGTTTCATTGTAAGATGACCAAGATAATATCACCCAACATGTCACCCATGTTATAAGACTTAAATGAACATGAAGTGCTAGGAACGGAGTTTCACTCAATAAAGTGTAAGTCTTTATCAAGCTGCACCAGGCTCCCCCTTACATGGACTTGCCCTAAATCTGAAGCTTTATATCTTATGTCAGGACCTTAAAGAGTAAAGTCAAACCAAATCATGGCAATGCATTTGGTCTAGATGGGGAGCAACTCTTACCCGCACAGCCAGGGGTGACGGAGCTCCGAGGACTATGGCTGTGAAGAGTCTATGATGAGAGAGAGGCAGCCAAGGGCCCAACTCACTTCCACCTCTGCAGAGGACACAGGGAAGCAAGGGAGAGCTCCTCTCAATGAGGTTGGGAGAGCCAGTCTTTGACCAGCCAGAAAGCCCCGTAGGGCTCACCTATACTCCAACCTCTGGGTCAGAGAATGGGAGAGACTGGAAAATTTTCTGCGAGGGCTTAGACCTGGGCAACGCACCTCTAAATCCACAAAGAGCTCACCATAAGGCCTGACTATCATCAGCCTCACCAAGTAAGTGGATTCCGTGAAAACTTCATCCTCAGAGCATGAAGGGGGAACCAAGAAATAAGAAGGCAGATTTTTGAAGTTTTGAGAGTGCCCCTAGTGTGGGGATTTCAAGGGACTTTTTCACTGAGATTCGTGCCAACCACAGACACTTGGGTACATGGACAGAAACATGGTCTCAGGATTAGTTTCTAGGTACCAGTAAAGAGTACAGCTGTAAATCAAGGTTCATTTGTTCACGAGGACTGCCAGGTGTCCTGGCCACACAGGACACCCGTGAATTAGATAATAAACTCGTAGGGCAGGATTGAGGAGGGCCGGGGTTTTGTTTCTCCAGCTTTAAGACAGAGGACAGGGAAGCCCATTGGAATGTGGTGGTGAATCAGGCACAACTTGAATCAGGTTGGCGGCCTGGCTTCCCATAAAGGAAACCAGTGCAGTCCCTCAACCCTCTAAATCCAGAAGAGGGAGGAAGAGACAGGGGAACTGCCTGCCTCTTGGGAAGGAAAAGCGGATATCGAAGAAGCTAAAGAAATAAAAGTGCTTACCTGGGTCTCTACTAAGGAAGACACTGCCAGAATGCTGTCTTCTGAAGCAGCAGCCCAGTAAACAATGGAAATGGATTGGATTTTCTTTCCTTTTACTTTCCTTCTCTTTTTCGAAACAAGGTCTCTTTCTATCGCCCAGGCTTGAGTGCAGTAGCATAATCACAGCTCACTGCAGTCCCGACCTCCCAGGCTCAAGCAATCCTCCAAACTCAGCCTCCTGAGTATCGGGGACCCCAAGCATGTGCCGCCACCACGCTCTGCTAATTTTTTTATTTTTATTTTTTGTAGAGATGGGGGGTCTCCTTGTGTTGCCCAGGCTGGTCTTGAACTCCTGGACTCAAGCAATTCTTCCATTACAACCTCCCAAAGTTCTGGGATTACAAGGGTGAACCACTGCACCCAGCTTGGATTGGATTTTCTATGCCCAGTCTAAGAAACACCACACACGTGCAGGCACACACACACACACACACACACACACACACACATACACATACACCCCAATCAAATAACATATAGTCAGGAGTGCTCAAGAAATCTGTGGGATGAATTAAAAAATTATTGGCCGAGTCTTTGTTTGTTAGTAAGGAGGACCCAGAGATACAGCAAATTGACTCTAACATAGAAAAACAGTTTCTAGGGGACCAAGGCAAGTAGAGACTAGAGTCTTTACTTCCCATTGGGCAAAGAACCTTCTGGACAACACAGCCTGCCATCTGAAAGGATATGTCATAGCTAACCGACCTCCTCGCATTCTTTAAAGGGGAGGAAGGTCATGTGAATATGAATTCTAAACTCAAAAAGCCTTGGGCAAGCTTTCACACCTAAGATTGTTTAAAAAAAATTGAACCAACATGATATTTCTGTATCTATTTAATTATGGATCAGGAGCTAGCTTAGAGATAAGAAAAAAGGTATCACACTAGAAGAAGAAAGAAGCTCTACAGTTGGGTCTTCTGGGATTGAGGCTAGTATCCTTAACATTTTCACCCATATTCAGGAAAATCGAATGCTTAGGTAAGTGACACTAGTCTTTCTGGAGAGTGAAATGTCAAGTTGTCAAAAATAGAGCACAGAAATTTCACAAAATAGTGTGAATGGGAAGAGATAGAGGACAAACCTGAGGTCATTTCTAAAATGCACTTGGAGTTATCACTCCTGAGATCCAGGAACTAATGTAAAGACGTCACCAGCTTCACATACTGCCCGCAGGCACGGGAAAAACAGGCAAAGACCTGGGTGCTGTCAGGAAGAGCATCACAAACCGGAGAAAGCATTACCTCTTGCCTAAACTACACTGCCCAGAATTAAGCATGAAGTTCTTTCTACTGCATGTCAAAAAACAAGGCTCCTGAAAGAGGCATTAAGAGAGTAGATGGCACAGGACAGAGGCACTGTCATCAGTGGAGTCTGGGGAGAGGAGAGCAGCCAGCACATAGAGGCTGGAAAGGCCTGGACAAGGGTATTCAAGTATCCAAAGGTAGGAGGAGAGTGGCTACCGATCTGCTCACAAGGAACCTTAACTTGGACCAAGTATTTTAAAAAGAGCCCCTGCCTCACAGTGTGAGCAATTTATGTAACTTGAAACCCTAAGAAATAAAAATAAACATTGGTTCAGACTATAGATGAATTTACAGGTCAAAGCTCCCAAGCTATCTATGAGGGAGGGTCATTCCTGACCATTGGTGGCTGGTGACCTGGACAATAATTGTCTTTTTGTTTTGTTTTGTTTTGGATTTTAGTTGAGATGGGGTTTCACCATGTTAGGCAGACTGGTCTTGAACTCTTGACCTCAGGTAATCTGCCCACCTTGGCCTCCCAAAGTGCCAGGATTTCAGGCGTGAGCCATTGCATCCGGCCTCCTATTGTCCAAAGAAACCTCACCGTCACTGTTCTCAAGAGACTCTGTCTGTCTGTCTATCTATCTATCTATCTATCTATCTGTCTATCTATCTATCTATCTGTCTGTCTTTCAGTTTTTCTGCACTTTGCTTGTTTGATTTAATACATCAATATGTAAAATGCTTCATCACACCTTTTTACATTTACTTATTATTCCAGCGTTTGAGTGTATTTTCATTTATTTAACAAGGGACAGCACTTTCAATCACCTTTTTCATCAATAGGAACTAACTACATGCCATATGTAAAAAGTTAGAAATGGAGAGCTTTCTCCAGGCAAAAAGAAAATATAATCAAAGAACAATTTTTTAAACTGACTCTTTTAAGTTGCCCAATTCAATTAAAAAGCCTTTCAAGTCTATTCTGAAAGCTACAGCTCAGCCCCGTCATTTATCTGCAAGACCTTTGCTAGAGTTGGAGGGGAGGCCAACATGATAGACCTAATTTCAGATACAAGGTAAGTCTTTTGTCTGGAGTTGGGGGATAGGAAGATGATATTCCCACAAAACCAAGACAGGGCCTCTATTGTTCAATTTGCTCGCCTGCTTGTAAAGCCTCTGGCACACATTAAGGATTTGATCAATTATTATTACTTCTCCTCTAGTCATTTCTGTAAGTCCAAATATACTCAAATCACTTTACTCATAACCAGGAAAAATGTTTAGTTTGCTGCTTTCAATGGCTTTTTAATGACACCCCCTGTTTGTTCCCCTCATTAAAGCCGCGTTATTTATCATACTGGCATTCTTGCTATAAACCACCAACGACCGTACCAGTCAACATCGTTACCTTGTCTTTTGAGAACCCTACAATTCCCATCATGGACTCATTTACTCTTCTTCCCTTAAATCTTTCCTAAGTCACCAGGGTCATTATCCTGAACCCTTTTAATCTTTGTTCAAGTATTGATTGTCACATATTTTTTCCTTATTCCACCTTATAAGGCTAATATACCAACTATAAAAATCTAAAAATAAGTTCATTTACTTGGCAAGCTCTCGCTTCTCATCTTCTATGGCTCTAATGGCTTTCCTCTCTAAACTTCTGAGAGATGGTCGCAGGCAGTAAAGCTTGTAGTCACACAGGCAGCATGGGTAGAGATCACACAGGCCACAAGAGCGTGATCGCTTGGAATAGCACAGGCAGTACGGATATGGGTGCAAGTCGCAACAGCAATAGGGGTGCATATACAGGTCGCACAGGCAGCGCGTGCTAAATTCGTCGATGCATCTCAGTTGCCTTAGTTCTCTGTCCACCTTCTTTATGTCCCTTCTGACACTGTCCAAGAGACAACTCAGTGCAGCCATTACAGACACACCTTATTGTTCTGTGAGTACCCTCGGGAAATGGCACTCAGGGGAAAAAATTGTTCTAAGCCCTTCTCAGAAGTTGCTTTTAAAAATAAATGAGGCACGCATGACTCACTTACTTAAAAGCTTGTGTTCTATGACCTCACTGCCCTGTAAAGTATGTCATAGTCTTCTGGTTACCATGTGAACTGGACACAGTCATGGTCTCCAGAGACCCTTCTTAGAGTCACAGAGCTGCTCTCAGAACCACACTCATGTTGAGATTTCATTCACCCTCAAGGAGGATGGGTCTCCCAAGCGGGCGCATCCCGCTTGGGAGACTTTGGGGTGCATGAGCATTAACGTCCTTGTCTTGTGTGTGTTCTGGGGACCAGCCACGGCTGTGAATGTGTGTTTGTTGAACTTCGTGCAGGTGAAGGCAGGAGCTGCCCCCTCCTCTCTCTACACACCCTTCTAGCTCTAGCCTTGACTGGAAGCTTGACTTTGCTCCTTTTGTTCTAGAATTCATTCTGGCTCTAGATAGGTAGACTATAATGTTCTCATCATTCTCCTATCAAGTCAGCCATTGCCCTTGACCTTCTGAGTTACAAGTCTCTGAGTCCTGTCCATTCTTTATTACCTGTGGTCATGGCCGTCTGGGAACCTCATTCCTCTACTGGTTGGGGGTCCTTTCCTTAAGTTCCCATCTGTCAGTGCTCGGGGGCCTGTCCTGGGGAGCTACCTCCCAGCAAGTGTCCCTTTGGTCTTGCATCCAAGCCTCCAGATGCCTTGTCCCTGAGTGCTTCCCAAATGTTGGTCTTTGACTCTCTTGTAGCCAAGTGCCTGAAGGTGCTGGAAGCCAATTGCCTGAAACCCCCCGTTTGCCAGTTTCCTTTACTTCCCGTTCAGTTAACATCCAGACCTCTGACTCAGCCTCAGATCTGGCTCTCGGTGCCTCTGCTCCTCTGGTCCTTTCACCTCAAACTGCGGTCCAGCTCTCGAGTCTCCCTTGTACGGAGTAGAGCACAGGGTATTGATCACAGGTGGTTGGATAGGACACCGGTGACGGAGACAAGGGCCAGGTATGAAGGGACTTGTAGCCAGACTAAGGAGTTTGAACTTTATTTTGAGCCCAAAGGATTGTTGATTTTCTTTTCTATGGACGAAGTGAGATAGCCACACTGAAGGTGAGTTGCTAGGGACCATAGTAGAGGTGTTTTCTGCTGCAAGGCGAGAAGAGACAGCAAAGTCTGAACTGGGAATCATGGCTCTGGGGATGGCAAGGAGGAGGCCAGTGGGATCACCTTCCCCCACCTCCACCCAGGCCCTATTGGACCCATTTTCCACATTGTAGCCAGAGCGACTTCCATATAGAAATCTGTCATCCCTCAACCTTGCCTGCCCACCGTCCCACCCACCTTAAAAGTCTTCTCTGTCGGCAGGGTGTGGTGGCTCACACCTGTAATCTCAGCACTTTGGGAGGCAAAGGCAGGCGGATCAGGAGGTCAGGAGTTCGAGACCAGCCTGACCAACATGGTAACCCTAAAAATACAAAAATTTTCAGGGTTTTTAATTTTCTACTAAAAAAATAAAAATTAGCCAGGTGTGGTGGCATGTGTCTGTAGTCCCAGCTACTCAGGAGGCTGAGGCAGGAGAATCACTTGAACCTGGGAGGTAGAGGTTACAGTGAGCCAAGACTGCCCCACTGCACTCTAGCCTGGGTGACAGAGCAAGACTCCATCTCAAAAAAAAAAAAAAAAAAAAAAAAAGTCTTCTCTGTCCTCTTAGGAAAAGGACCAAAATCTTTACGGGGTACTGAGCAATGAGGCCTCTCCCACTTCCCCAGTGTCCTCTCCCATTGCAGTATTTCTGCAATTCATTACCCCTCAGCCATGATGGCCTTCCTGGAAGACCACTCACTTTCCCGAAAGCCGTTCCTTAGTCTCTTGAAGGACATTCCTCATTCCTTCCACCCCATTTGGAGCTCATACACAGGCCATTCTGTCTGCTTAGAAATTGAACTCCCCACCTATGCCTTTCATCTACTTAATTCTTAAGGGATCCTTTAGATCTCCCCCTTTCTTGGGGAAGCCTTCCCTGTATCCCAGACTAAACACTCCCATAATCTGGGACACATTTCCTTCAGGACATTGATTCCCGAGCTAGACTGTAAGCCATGAGGGCAAGGACCTTGTCTATTTTTGCTTCACAGTAGATACCTAATACAATGCCTGGCACATAGTAGGTGCCTGAAATGTATTCACTGAATGCCCATCTGGTTGAATTAAACAGGATTTAGTGAACAGAGTGAGGATGGAATAAGGGAGGAATGAGTAATGACTTCCAGCTTCCACGCTTGGCAAACCCTTGGTGCCATTGAGATAAAAAATAACACAGGGAGAAGAGTAAGTCTGAGGACTTGGTGAGCAGGTGGCACTAGCAACAACTTTAAGGTAGAAATCTGGAGTATCCTGTGGATAAATGGGTCTGGAATTTGAGAAAAGGCTGGGTTAGAGATATAAATTAGGAAGTCACAATTCTATAGGTAGTTGGAACCCTGAAAGCAGGCAAGACAACTCAGAATGAAAAGAGGGCTGAAGCCGACTCCCAGGGAAAAATAACTAGAAATGAGGGGAGTGAAGGAGCCCGTGGAGCCTATGAAAGGCTCACAGAGGGAGTAATAGAGGCCGGGCATTGTGGGTCACACCTGTAATCCCAGCACTTTGGGAGGCCAAGGCAGGAGGATCACCTGAAGTGGGGAGTTTGACCCCAGACTGACCAACATGGAAAAACCCGATCTCTATTAAAAATACAAAATTAGCCGGGCGTGGTGGCGCATGCCTGTAATCCCAACTACTCCAGAGGCTGAGGCAGGAGAATCACTTGAACCCGGGAGGCGGAGGTTGCAGTGAGGCAAGATTACACCATTGCACTCCAGCCTGGACAAAAAAAAAAAAAAAAAACAAAGAAGAAGCAGAGTAATAGGTGAGAGCCCCCTAAGCTGGAGTCCCTTGGGTGTCACTAGATGAAGCATTGCATTCCCAAAGGCTCGATATTCCCCAGTCTTGAATCAGGAGGCCCTTTTCTGTGCAGATGATGTTTCTTAGCAAGGCAAACGAAGTGCCCCTAGAGGTATTAGAATGAGAGGCTGGTTCCTCGAATCACATGGAATGAGTCAAAAAGCAAAGTTGAATAATTCTCCTCTGTGGACAAATTCTCATGTCTTTAAAAGTGGTTCCACTGGGATTCGATTCTGAGGGGTGGAAACATGGCCTGCTCCTTCCTGAGAGTTAATTGTAGGAGCTGTATAGATTTCTCTAGCTCCAGATGATAGAGAAGTCTTCTATCACCTTGAATTCTATCCCTTAGCAAATGTCAGCAAAGGTGAAGCAGGCAAGCTCTCAGTTTAATATTGTTAAATACACAAGTTCAGGTGCATCTGTGTATACACACATCTGTGTATACATGGCACATTATTAAGATGGGTATAGCTATATTTCAACTAGGATTCTCCCGTTATCCCACTTTCCTAGTGTTTTTTGTTTTTTGTTTTTTGTTTTTTTGAGACAGGGTCTTACCCTGTCACCCAGGCTGGAGTGCAGTGGCACCAGCTCTCCACAGCCTTGACCTCCTGAGCTCAGGTGATCCTACCACCTCAGCCTCCCCAGTAGCTGGGGCTACAGGCATGCACCACCATGCCTGGCTAACTTTTGTATTTTTTGTAGAAATGGGGTCTCACCATGTTGCCCAGGCTGGGCTCAAACTCCTAGGCTCAAGTGATCTGCTCACCTTGGCCTTTCAAAGTACTGGAATTACAGGCATGAGCCACCACTCCAGGCCCTTTCTAGTGATTTTACTCTTCATCACTGTCAGGTCTCCATACGCAAGCCTGGAGCCTGAAAGTCTGAAGTCCTGCTTGCCTCGGCTAATGTCTCATCCAACCCTGCCTGCCATCTTAACTGTTCTTATGGTAATGTAAATACCTCTCACCCAACCCTGCCATTGTAACTGAACTTGTGGTCATGTATACTCCTTGTCCCTAACACCCACCATTGTAACTGATCTTACTCTGCAACACCCCTACCCCCCAAAAAACTACCCGAACCTATAAAACCAACCCCACTGCCCTTTGCTAATGCTCTTTTCGGCCTTAGCCCACCTGCACCCAGGTGAATAAACAGCCATGTTGCTCACACAAAGCCTGTTTGGAAGGTCTCTTCATTCAAAGTGTGCATTTTTTCCAACAATCATGAAGTATATTCCTATCATTTTAAGTGACTAAATAAAGGTAGTGTCTTCTTTAAAGATGAGATGGGGCCAGGAGTGGTGGCTCATGCCTGTAATCCCAGCACTTTGGGAGGCCGAGGCGTGTGGATCATTCGGTCAGGAGTTCACAACCAGCCTAGCCAAGATGGTCAAACCCCCGTCTCTACTAAAAATATAAAAATTAGCTGGGCATGGTGGTGAGAACCTGTAATCCCAGCTACTTGGGAGGCTGAGGCAAGAGAATCGCTTGAAGTTGGGCAGCGGAGGTTGCGGTGAGCGGAGATCGTGCCACTGCACTCCAGCCTGGGTGACAGAGGCTCTGTCTCAAAAACAAACAAAAAAGATGAGATGGGAATGTGATCTAGTGACATTAGAAGGACTCTAATATGGATTCTAATATGGTACTAGGACCCTTCCTTATGCAGGACTGTGTCTGTGGAAGCTCCCATTCACCTTGGCTGGTGTCCAGATAGAACCTCCTCTGGATGGAAGGCAGGTCTTGGCACTCTCCCGTTGGGCAACATTTGCTTGGTCCCCAGTATTGGTGAAATCATGAGCCAAAGAACGTCCCTCTTCCTCTTCCAGCAGGTGGTACAGCTACAGCTCAAATCTATTCACTAGACCAATGTTACAAAGACACTTTTCTAGCAGTTGTTAGATGAATACACAGTGTTTAAACATCAAATATGAAAGTATACACATAGTGTAATCTCAACTCTGTAAAAAAGAATCCATAGGCTAGGTGTGGTGGCTCACACCGGTAATTCCAGCACTTTGGGAGGCTGAGATGGAGAGAATCGCTTGAGACCAGGAGTTCGAGACCAGCCTGGGTAACATAGTGAGACCCTATATTCTACAAGAATATTTAAAAATTAGCCAGGTAGGCCAGGTGCAGTGGTTCACACCTGTAATCCCA